GTACGAACTGTCTGAATTCATTGTGCCAGTCTGTGAGTGTTTGTTAGCTGCTGGAAGTACTATCAGGCTCCACAGTCACGTTTTCCCTGAACATGTGCAAATGCTGATCTTGTTGTTGAGACTAACAGCAACTTTTTTTTTTTGGATCCTCTGGAATCAGAATGTGTAGATATCTATATTACTACTGTGATGCAAAAATTTTGCTCTGATGTATTTTAAATACACGTATGTATGTTTCATTGGACTTCAGGTTTATTTACATTCTCCATATCCGCGGCAATTTGTGCTGTTAGAAGCTGTACATTTACAAGTTGAGTGTCTGGATTTTTGGAGTGGTAGTAATATGTGGTGTCTTCGGGAGCTGCTGCTGGCTTTTTCTGCTGGGCACCCCTGTAGCTGTTTGTGACTTATCCTTCATTAAGGGGTTAGAAAAGGGTAGGAAAGGACCACTGTGGGGGTTGGATGGGAGAGGACTAGGATACGTAATAATTTGAAATTCCCATCCCTGTGCAGTACTGTGGTGTAACAGCAGGGGGCATTTTAAACAAAGGAACTTTCAGTAGTTTTTTAACCTTTTCAAAAAAGTCAAATTGAAGCCTGTAATGGAAGTCATACTTCTGTTAAAAAGGATAACAACACCAGTAACGGTCAACAGATCCACTGTTATAAATATTATTTTTTCTTAGTGGCCATGAGTGGGCTTAAAACATTTCTCTGTTCTCTGTAGTCTGACACTGTCATTTTTAGTCTTTACTGTTCCGGTATTGAGTTAAACTCAGAATTTTCATAAGACCAAAGATGTCCGAAGGCATTAAGGGTAGAGTTGCCTGTAAAACATTGGTGCCTAACTGGAGGGATTGCTGTAACGCTTTTAAAACATTAGACTGTGAAAGTGAGAGGTCAGATGGAATGAAAACAGGAAGTTACTGGGCACAATCTGGGCACACATCTAAAACCAAGAACAGGATGCGGTCCTTTACCCAAAGGATTGTGGGAGTATGGAACAAGCTGCTCAACTGAGTGGTTAAAGCCGAAGGCTTAATCTTGGGACTTCAGGGCTTAATTTTAAGATACAGCTGGATGGGACCCTCAGATCAGTTACCTGCTAACTACCAAATGGGACAGATAGTTTGCCAGTAGTTCCCTCTTTTACCTCCTCCGGCTATGATCACACCAATATTTCCAGCAGAAACCAAAAGTAATCCCAAAGGTTCAAGGTTCAAACCTTCCTCCAGCTCTCTGACTGACTATGTTATATTCCCATCTCTTCAGTCTTGCTCTCTTCACCTCCCTTACTTATTATCCTTGCCGTTCCTCGATCAACCCCACCCTCATTCCCTTACACCCTCGATGAAAGCGCCTGGTAATTTTAATCTAATGCTGAATGGTGGGCGTATAGATTTCAAGAAAACACCTTGACTCGGTGTTTGAAAGCAGCTGGGTGATGCAGATCTCTTCCAACTTCACCGGTGATGCAAGAGCAGCTCGCAGCTGTTGGTTTTGGGTTGCTGTAAGCTTTCGGCAACACAAGGGGGCGCCTGTGTGGTGGCAAGGATTAATGTTTTTATCATTTAAGTGGGAAATTGTTTTAGTAACTGTTTCTCTCTGAAAAAATAAGTTAAGTGAAAAATTATCAATTTTAGATTTTATTTTAAAATAGTTTCCACGTTTAAATAAGTTCAAACGATTAAAAATCGTTTAAAAATCAAAAGTCATCCATCATATTTCGGTAGAGGTGAATTAACTAACTTTTTACATTACATTCCACTAATCCTAAAAAGTATTGAGTGTTTAATGTGCAACTGAAAGTCATTTTATTAAAGTTTATTTAAACACTTGAGTGCATGCATGCTAATTTTACCTGGATTGTATTTGATTGACACTTGGCAGATGTGTATTATGGGTTTCTTTCTAGTTCCAATCCATAAAATAGTTATTCTTTGGTCCAACCGTTATTGTCTGATGTAAACACATGGCTCTTACTTCCATATTCTTCTTAAAAAGGAGTGATGCACAGTTATGGGTGCTGTAAGTACAGGTAATTTTGGGTTATCCATTATAGGAATTGCACACTATAAACTAATAAAATGTTAACTGTGTAGACAGCCACTAGCTTGTATTGCAATTACAGGGAGATATTCAGCAGGTTTCTTCACAAATAGAGCTTACAAAGCTGTGGTAAATAAGCTTAACTGTTAGGAAACTGAGAAATGCAATTTGATTTGAAATAAGCACAGAGGTCTTGAGCTGGCATCCCAGTTTAGCCACTAAGTTTAGTGAACTCTAACCTTTGACCTGAGAGTGTACCCCTGCCCAGCCTGCTGTAGAGCTGAGGGTCTCCGAGTTGCATCGATATGCTGTATTACTTAACACGGGTACTGTATCTGTGTCCCACTGAAAGGAATGTCCATTTTTAGCTAGGTACCTGAGACCATGTATGGTTTTCCTTAAAAAGAGAGCTGTACCTCTGAAATAGAATTTCTGTTGGAATCCTGTTGGAATTTCTGTAGGAATTTGTTGGAATCAAAATATTGGCTAACCATCTTGGGTCACATTTAATTAATTGTTCCCTTACCTGAATGAATGTGTTTGTGTTTGGGTGTTTTTCCGTTTCCATTTCCTGTCCAGTACATGAAATACTTAAGATACCTCCGTTCTGCGGTTCCTCAGTTTAAGGGTCACGGTGGGCCAAATAAGCTAGTTGCTTCACTAAGTTCAGTTTGGTATTTGAGAGCACAGCTTGCAGAATGGGGACCTGTTGACCAGGTGTGAAAAACGCTAAACAGTAGGTTTGCATTTCTCTTCCTGACTGTTTACGTTTTAGATCTTTAACTTCATACACTCCAGCTTTCTGAGCCAGAGTAGTAATTATACGCACTGGGGTAGGTGTTGGCTGAGTCAGCTTGTGCAAGTGACTTCTGGTGTACCTCCAGATGTGGGTTGAAGTGCTGTTTAAATTTTGAATTGAAGTACCTGTTTGAATTTTGTGCTTCTCCTCCCCTGCCTTTGCCTTGCTCATGGGCCTGCTCCTGTTTTGGAATGTGGCAGGTCTGGACAGGTGGTGGGGCTCCTCGCAGATCCCCCCCCACTCATCCCAGGGGGGTGGGATTTCTCCAGGCACGTTAGCCGAAAGCAGTTCCTGTCTGCCACGTCGCTATGTCTCACCACACGGTGAGCACACTGCAGTCACGAACTGCTCAGATTCATGACCAAGGGGCACATTGTTCTTGAAAGCACTAACGCCCTTAGCGTTACTGCTCGGCGCTTTTGTATTCAGGAAGAATAATGCCCAATCAGTGTGCAGGTGCCATGGCTTGGATCTGTGCTTCTGTTTGTTGTTAAGTTGTGCCTCTGTTTGGTCTTCATCATTACGAGTGTAGAAATAAACTTTAGTCATAGTTTGATCATGCATCTAGATACACTTGCCAGATTCTGTTTCATGTACATAAATTACCCACGGTTCCAGCCTCCTACCCATAATTCATACCCACGTCTTGCTCTTAAATAAACATCAGAACCCTGCAAGGATTTATTTGACATGTAGGGGATGGGTTTTGATTACTTTTCTGTTTCAAACTAGCTGTTTATATTGCAGTGATTTTCCCCATTCTGTGCAAATAGTGTTTTAAAAGGTGGTGTCTGCATCTAGGTTTGCCGTAAAAGCTGGTAAATTATAACCCCCCAACCCCTAAAAAAAAAACATTATTGCCTGACAGATTATAAATCATGTTCCTGCTTAGCTCCTGGTTGTCAGGCTCTTTATCTTGTTACTATGTACTTTGCAGTAGCAGCTAACTATTGACAAAGAGAGGACAATACGGGCATGAATATGCACAAAGAGCATGCGGAATTTTCTTACTGGTTGTCTGTTCTTGTAGCTAGGGACTATAGTGTTCTCTCTCAGCTCTCCCACTCCATGCCAAGTTTCGGTATGATCTACTTCTGTTCCTGTGGCTCAGCTTTTCTGGGCACTTTGTACCATTTCCTTGTCATGCTTGGCGGCAACTGTCCGTTGAACAAAAATAAGTTTTCAAACTCGCCCCCCATCTTCAAAATGTATGTCCTCTGAAAGAGAGACACCTCTGGTTTCTACACTTTTGTGCACTTCAGACTCTTAAGCGGGGGGAGATAACTTCAGTCATGGGGAATGTGTTTCACAATATAGAAAGGATTTCTGTAATACATTTTGCTGTTTCTCAGTAGTCTTATTTCCTCAGCTCCATACGGCGCACCTCCATCCAGCTCAGACACTACCGACCAGGCCGTGTGAAGTGCTGCTTGATGTGTACATTTCCTCTGCCTTGCTTTGTATTCTGCTTGCCGTCTGTGCTGAATCGACTGTGCTGCCCTGAAGTCCTCGGTGTCTTTCAAGTGTGATCTTGAAGATATGCACTGCTGAAGAATGTGTGGCAGAAGTGCAAGAAGACTTTCAGGGTCTTGAAAGTTTCTTTCACAGGTCAACTTTCACAATACTGTGATTTCTAATCTAGGTTTTCTCACTAACCTGTAGGATAACGGATACATTCTTAACATCCAGCAAGGCAATGGAGACAATTTAAAAGGCAAAGTGCTCCCGAGTGCCTGGGGTTGCACAGCATACTGCTGGACAGATCTGGTCTGAGGCGCTAGAAGGACTCCACTGTTTGGAAACTGGGAGGGGGAGGGATGCAAATGTCTTTGGAGCTCCCTGAAAACTGCAGAATGCAAAACGGGAAATTGCTTGTTCAAGTCTGTAGATCGTATTGCGTTTGTGTGACTTGGTTCCATTTTTGAACGCCTTCTTCCGTGACGGCCTTTCAGGGTTGGAAAAACAGTGGCAGGATAAGATGAAGTTCAACTCATGGGAAGGCCAGGGTCCCTGCTGTATTGATCGTAGCAGTCGCTCCCCCTCCCATCTGCCAGCACGAGGGTGACACAGATAGGCTATCAGAGGGAACACCCAGTTTGCTTCCACCTCGCTTTTCCATGCTGACATTGCCAGTGGAAGGCGGGGGGTTAGGTGAACGGGCTTGTTTGTTTCTCCCGTGGCCCCGGGCTGGCTGACTGCTGTTCAGGACAGCCTCTCGTACCTGCATTCCACAGAGACGGGGCCGGCCCTCCGAATGTGCCGGGGAGGCGGGGAGCTCCTAGGTGTGCAGGCAGCCGGTCACTCCCATCCGCGTGTCGGTCGGCGGGGTGTGTGCCCCGGAGGGGGGAAACTGGAGGCTGGAATGCAGCAGTCTGCTGCTGGGAGCGGGGGAAGGACTGCAGCTCTGAGCTCCTCAGTTCAGGTGTGAGCCGCTCCGGCTGGCTGTCTGGCTGGCGGGTGGGTCGTATCGGATACTGCCTGCAAGGGGCTGTGGGAAGAGCCAGTTTTCCGGGGTTTTCCTGTGGGTTTCCCGGAGTCCTGGTCCCGGTGAAGGGTCTTATACAGAGCAGCGGAGCTTGAAGTTACCGGATTCGGAAAATGAGTGCTCTGAGGCTGAAGGAGCTGTCCAATTCGGACTTGTACAGGAGGAGGCAGGAGCGCCCCGACAGCTTTGGACTGGGCAGCTTTCCGAAGGACACGCTCAGGTGAGGGGGACAGGGGCCGGGGGGGGCCGTGTCCGTGCGTGTTGCCACGGAGAGCTGCGAACGCTGAGGCCCGGGTGTGTTGTGGGTCTTGGGCGATATGGAAGAGGTGATGTCACTGTAGAGCTTGTTTAATTTCACCCTTAGCTTCTTCTATATTGCCATTGTGAGCAAAGTCTCTTGTCTGCTCTTTGCCTTTTGAAGATTAAAATCTGTGTCCCAGAGAGCTAGGTCTAGACAGGACCATAGTTGTGTGCTGGTAGTTTTGTCTGAAAAGCAGCACCCTTTACTAATACACCTCTTATAAAGGCGCATGAAGACTACCAGTTTCCTTTATTCTTTGTGAATGATTAACAATTACAGTCATACCGGCTTTTATTATTCTTCTGTTTTGGCCAGTGTGAATGGCAGACAAATTTAGCACAGCAGAAAGACCATAACTTTGCTTTATCGTTCTTTCTGACATTGTTCACTGTACAGGAGTGTTTGGTAAGCGTAATGAAGTTCTCCTTTTATTGTCCAAAGATAATGCAGGTCTGGATTAATGGCCCTGATACTGTGAAATCAAGTCCTCTGAAATAAAGTCCACTAAGAGTGTGGTAAGAGGACTTTAGGGCCCGTCAGCCTGTGAACCAGTATGCAAAGCTGGTCCTGGTGAGATTAGCATGCCCGAGCTACAGTACAGGATTCCTACAGGGGTGACCTTGATGTGAGAAGTTTTCACAACATCCACCATTCCTCATCCAGACTGCAGGCATAGTGGCTGTTAATAAAAGGCAGGATTGCCCTCTTTACAGGAGGTTATTTCAAATGCAGTGTCCGTGTGTTTTCTGGCAGTATCTTGAGAGATTCTTCTCACACAGTAGTCCTGTCTTCCTTCAGCAAAGCGACTCATTTTGTGAGCTGTGTTATGGACACAATTTATATTGTTTCTTACTAGCTTTAATGTTTTCAACATTTTGTAGAAATATGTTTAACATGCTGAATAAATAGAACATTTTTAGTCTTTAGGATATTTTTCAGTTTTTGGAACATGACTTTAGAAGTTTAAGATGTTCTTATCAGCAGTATAAGATTTATATATTATTTTATGGGTTAGTTGGCAGAATATTGTAATATTGTAGCCTAAGTGTGTCTGTGTAGCACAGAGCAGGGTGATGCAGACACTCTGGGCAGTGGTTAGAGCCTTGTCAGTGTGTTGAGTAATAAAACAATAACTGCAAGGTTTTTTTTTTCTCACCCATTTCCTCTTCTCTTTCGGCCTTTTCATTATCAGCACAAATGGAAAAATATAGCCAATTTCTGTTCATAAGGGTGGTGCTGCTCTTTTAAAATAACACTGTTTCCTGAAAGGGAACAGTGCATTTGGGGAGAAAATGGTATTCGAGATCCTTGATCTTAAAAGAGTTTTATCTAGATGATTTTGCTTCTATTAGTGTTAACTCTCCTCAGTAGTTTAATCGTATAGACATTTTAACACCGGAGGAAATACTTGCCTGCAGTGAATCAATATGATGGCCCATACATAATTTGTAGTGCATAGTGCCAGTGCAGTTTTGGGAGAATTTTAAACGGCCAGCCTTTTAGATTTTGGAGAATGGTATCGACCTTGATAAAACTGTTGGTGAAGTAGCATGAGACAGGAGCCTGTTTTCCACGTTTGCCAGTTCTTGAAAAGCCCTGAACAATCAACACCACTGATGGCGCTGGTGAAGATGTAGTAACAAACTGAATCCAGGTCACACAGAGGATACCACAGAGAGTGGGGGAAGGACTCCTGAGGTGCCATGGTGAGCAATACGTGTGTTTGCAAATGGCTTTCTGTTCTGAGCTGCAGGAGGTCTGTTTAAGAGAATCCTAGTGACCGCCCACTGCCAGCACTGGAGCCCTGCTGAGAGCACCGGCCTTGCACCATGAAAAGCAGTTACAAATTTCCTGGTACTGCAGCCACCACCTTCCGCATAAGAATTGTGTTTAAAAGACTTTCAGCCAGCTCCCTGTGGTCAGGCCTGGGGGTTTTGGACAGCAGGCATGGACAGAGCTGGTAGCTTAGCTACTGTAGTCGGCTATCTCTTGGCCATCAATCACCCTGCAGGTGATGAACTAGCAGTTTGTAGCAGTCCTTGCAGAACAGCTAGGAGAGGCTGTTTGAGATGTCTGTCTCTTGTGAGACATTGATCACTTGAATGTTGGAACACATTGTTTTTTCAGGCACTTGTGATCTGAGCCACCGAAATGCAGCTCACATCCGCTTCTTCTATTCTACTCTCCATTTTTAAAAGTCAGCACATATGTAGAGGCCTCTCCTACACTATATTCAGCCCCTATCTCAAGGCTAACCTGCTTTTTTTGAATATTTGGAAATAAGTTATATTAGCAGGCTTTCAAGAAATACCACACTGTGCTAACCATTATTCTATTTACACACAAGTGAACAATACAGTATATGGAAATGTATTTAAAATGAAGGTTTCTTCTTTCATGAAACGGCTGAGATCATTTGATCACTTAGCTACTAACTACCAAACAAGCAGAAGGGCCAGAGGATCTCTTATCATCCCACAGCTGCAGTAGAAGGCTATCCATCGAACTCACAGATGTTGCAAGCAGGAATAGAAGAATGTTGCCTCTAAACTGACGTTTTGTACCTAATATCATGTTATTTATCATATATTTTAGATATGGTAAGTCTTCACAAAATCGTCCAGCCTGTGATCATAACCATATTGACGTTCATTGATTTCCACTTGGAACGCAGACTAAACTGTAAGAAAAAGAAAACAGGAGCTGCTATAATAAGGAAGGGATTTGTGGGATTTAAAAGACGGGAATTGAGAAGCCGGTGTTATCTGGTTGATGGGTTAAAAACATGTATGGAGGGAGACCAGAAATCTATGAGGATTGCCCAGGGGCATATTTGTGTGTGTATTTGGTACAAGACAGTGTCGTGAAAATGAGTTTCGTTGCGACACATGTTTGGTTTCATGACGTCTGAAGCAGCTTGGAAACTTGCTGTAGCGTGATTGAGGTGTATGGGCTCCCCTCCTCTCAGTACAGTGTCTAGGAGTACAGGGCTCACATAAACATTACACTGAGAGCTGAGGTGTCCTAAACAGTGTGAGCAATGGCTTTTTTCTTCTTTCCCTTTCAGGACAAATGTGGGGGGAAAAATATTTGACTTATGTTACGTCAGTGTACATTCTCTACCAGTTACACAGCATTTCTAGGAAAGAGTGATGACTTATTATTATTTATTAAAAATGAATGTGTTTATATAGAGTTTTTCATGTTCTTACAAGTTACAAGTTACAAGTTCTTTCATATAAGAGAGGACTGGCAGATTGCTTCGCCTAACGAATTAAGGGGCAACTTTAAGATGTCTTCAAGATGAGAGTGGAATTTAGTCATGGCTGTGGGGTTAATGCACCTACTGTACTCTTTTGAACAGTGCTATAAGATCTTTACTAATGAAAAAGTGAAGACCTTGGCTCAAGGAATGTCACCTCCTACAGCTGGTTTCCATACTTTGCCATTGTTTGGATATTGTGGTCCAGAGGGGAAATCGCCCCCTACTGGTCTGCCAATACCACTTAAACAGTCAGCTTGTTAGAGCATTATGTTTTGCCTCTGCCTTTGCTGTCATTTAGGTACGATCAGCAAGGATAGGTCCGTGAGTCTAGATTCCACCTAACGCGCACTCTTTCCTCTTTAAAACGATTTAAGATTTTTTTTTAACCCTATTAATAAAAAATTAACTATTAACTCTTGTGTTTTGGCAAACACAAGCCTTTATCTGGACTGAAAGGCTGACAAGTGTCAATAAAGCTTTTTGGAGTAAAGGGAGTGTGCGCCTGGTTCTATAAACTATATTGATCTTTTTTTATTACTGTACAGCACCTTTATAGTCTTTGTGTGTTTTTTTCTCTTTTTCTGTGGTTCTAGATTGGCATGGGGAAGTACCATCCTTAGATTTCTGTTATAGAGTTTCCATACACCAGGGCAACAAGATGCGCTTGATAAACGAAGAACAGCGAAGAGTCCAGTCGGTGTTGTCATGCTGGTAATGCTCTGAGCCGTGCCAGAGCTGCTTCAGGATTATTTATTCTATGTGTTTGTGAATCACAGCTGTGCCCCTCCCTAGTGGAAAAAATTCACCCTGATCTGTGGGTAGAAGGTGTGGCATGGAGCTACAATCCTGTTGTCATGGGAAATGGTCCCTCTCTTATCTGCCGGGCCACCATCATGATTGTCTCCGCAAGTCTGCTGACAACACCCTGTCTGCCACCCGGCCAGCTCTGGCTGAGCCCTCGGCTCACTGCTGGGGCCGTTTCCAAACCAGAGCCAGTCGTTGTCCCTGCTCAAGACCAAGAAGCAATCGGCCAACAATCAAACAAGCTACATGGGCTGAATGATTGCGATTGTCCTGAGCTAGCTGTGCCCGAGAAGGCAGAGCTGTAGGAAGAGGTGAAGATTTGACTTCTGTCCTGCCCATCCACAGATCTCCTGTGTTTCAGGTGGTTTTACATGATATACCTAGTGCCGGAGAAGAGCCAGGGAATGTTGTTTATTTTTAATGTTTCAAAGGTGCCTTGCTATGTTGCTTTCAAACTCCTGGGTGTTTTACAGTGGCTGGAGTGTCCATGTTGCACGTTTTCAGTACAGATGTGTTCCAGTCAAACCACTGAACATTTGATCAATTTACAGCCATGTTAAGGATATATCTAAAACTGTAAACCGTAAAGGAGGCATTTAATACTTCTGCGTGACTCTTCATTTACCAAATATCAAGGTTCTGTGTGGAGTTTCACCACAAAGCATGCCTGCACTGTTCAAACAACAGAGCCTTTCACAACGAAAAGAATGAAACAGACCTGATTATCTTTCCACACAAGCCACGGTGCATCACTTATCTAGATCAGCTGGTTACGTGACGTTAGTTGTTCTTTATTGTTGTGATCAGAGCAGTCTGTGGGGCACATATCTACTCCTTCCATCCTGTTTTT